CCCCAAAACCCCAAAACCCCAAAACCCCATGAGACAAACATAAGTTAAATCTTTTAATTAAGGGTTCAGTATTACTTACTAATTAATACTATTAAATAATGAGATAATTGGAAACCATCTAATACGTCATAACTATTTCAATCCTTTGTTTTGATATTTTGGGAGACAGAACTTTCAACAATATGCAAATAATTGCAAATCTAGCGGGGCTAGTCTACTGCTATCAAACTGAAGGATTTAGAATGGGTCAGTTGCCTTTGGTCCTGTGCTCTGTGGTATTTTAGCCACTAAACATACTGGCCTGCTGCTCTTGGTTATCATATATTTCAATTTTATTCCAGACACTTCTTATTGGACTGTCAACATGGATCTTTAGCTTTGGGGACCCCACTTTTGAGAAATATCCCTAAAGAGGAAAGTATGATGTTGGCCACAAAAAGATCAGAACTGACAAATTTGATAATGAGATAGTTGTGTTTTATCCAATTGAAAAGGGCACAGCCACATCAGTGAAATCTCAAAGAAATAAGTTTTCCTTTATTGAAAAAGAATTTCACTAATAATTTATGACTGGCTTGGGCAGAGCCCTTAAATTGGGATAGAAACCTTTTTAAAATGATATAATTAATTAAGGTTGGTACAGATTCTTGCTCGATGGAGTAATTGACTTTAGCATTTCCCATGCTAAAATAAGCAAAGACTTTGAAAATGGAGACAATGAAATGATTCCAATAGTGTTTTCTCATGGACTTTCTGGGTGCTGTCGATTCTATTGTGGACTTTTGAATGACTATGCCTCTCACGGCTATATAATATTTGCGATATCTCACAGAGACAAAACAGCATCCTATACCAATGATAAGGATGGAAATTTTTATTATTTCGAGAATGAGCCAAAAGTATTTGATTTCAAGCTCAGAAATGATTAGGTAACCATTAGAGAAAATGAATTAATTGCTCTAGCTGAAGAGATCAATGATACAAAAAAAATTAGGGAAAACTTGATATGCCAAACATTAAGATTAATACTCAGAAACTTACTTCCATGGGTCATTCATTCGGTGGAATAACAGCAGTGAGAGCTGGTTACTTGAGCGACAAAATCAAAGCTATAGTTTCATTTGATCCCTGGATGTATATGCATTAAAAAGAAGCAATAAGCGGAGAGATGAAAGTCAATAAATACTTATTTACCATAATGACTGAAACCTTCCCTTCATTGTGTCCTGGGTATGATCAATGGGCAGCTTAGAAAGCACTTCACTAATTCAATAGCACTGGAATGAACGAGAGTATAATACTTAAGAACTGCCATCACAATGATCAAACTGATTTCCCCTAGTTAATTCCCTTTGAATATGATGTTTTAGAAAAAAGATTCCCCAGATCTGATCTTAGAGAGATTAACTACTTGAATAATTAGTTGGGGCTTTTGTACTTGGCTAAAATTGGCTTCAGCAATTACCATACATCAGCTGAGATAGAGCAAAGAATTAAAGGTATTAAGGAAAAGTATGCTGCTTATGATGTTGAACTAACAACAAAGATTAACTGAATTAATTTATATAAAGCCGAGAAATTTTTAATTGCTATTGCTGCTCTATTTTAAAGTAAGGGGTTTTGGGGTTTTGGGG